TGTGGAGAGCTGCGCCACACCGTGCCTCAAAGATGGCGCCGGCTTCCGCATTCCACCATCCCGACGGTGAGTGCGCTCGGAAATAAACAACTCCTTATTTGGCCTGCTCCCATCCCGCCGGGGTCACGCCGTCATCATCAGATTGCTTATGCATTCTGATGAGCCTATGGCTTGCACACACGTGGCTGCTCAGGGTTGGCTGGCCTCGGCTATTTAGGGAGCAGGAGGGGTTTTTCCCGTGGCTGCCTCTACATTGTTTCACGGTTCCTGAATAAACCGCTGATGAGAAGGATTCCTGAGTCGCGTCTTCCTTGCAGGTCGAGGTGGTCGTGACAGTTGGTGGCCCGTACAGGGAATTCAGAACTCACGGCGGTCAGGGGGTGCACCGGTAAGTCCCCAGGTAAGGCGGGGATCTGCGAAAAGAGCGGGATTATTGTTCTCACCCATAGAGAAGGGGAGAACGGTCAGCAGAGCCGCGTCAAAGTGGACGGGAAAGCTAAGCAGTAGAGCCGCGTCAAAGCGGACGGGATAAAACGAAAGTAGTAGAGCCGCGTCAAAGCAGACGGGACAAAAGGGAAAGTAGTAGAGCCGCGTCAAAGCGGACGGAGTAAAAGTGAAACAGAGGGTATTATTTTTCTTGGCCCTTTGGGTGGTATTCAATTTTATTTTTGGGTTTTCTTTTCACTGTTTGTTGCAAGGATTGTACTAGGGCAGGTCAGTCAGGGAATCAACCTTGCTAAAAACATGGGTAATTCAACATCCCACCCAATTTTTTTTGGCGCTCAATGAGTTGCTGCATTCAAAAAACCTTGAACTTAAGAAACGTACTTTGGAAAGATTCCTGACGGAGTGTGACACTGTGGCACCCTGGTTTGCCGTATCTGGCAGCTTGACACTCTCGTCATGGAAGAAATTAGGCAAAGATTTAGATGTTGCTGCAGAGCACGGTGTCCTTGCTCCTGGGGTTCGGCCCGTTTGGACGTTAGTTCGCGGGTGTCTTACTGATCAAAAATGCATTAAAGCTATAAGGAACGGTCAGGCGGCCCTAGAACTTTTACAGGAGGAGAGGTCAGAGTCGGCTGCCTCAGTTGAGGCCGCCTCTCCCATAGGTCATACCCCGGATCTAAAAATAAAACCAAAACAGAAGAAAGAAGGGAATAGATTATACCCTGGCCTGTCAGACTTGGAGGATATTAATAGTTCTGCCGCCCCTACCTCCACCGAAGAGTCTGAGTCAGAAGAGGAGCGGGAGGCCCCCCATAAAGCACCTTTACAGTCCGCCCGAAGATTGCTTGCAAAATTACAGCTAGGAAGAAAGAAAGTTAGCCGACTTTACCCAAGGACTGACATAGTCCCTTCGGCTCCCCCTCCCTATCCAGAGGCTGTAGCTAATTCAGGAGGAGCTTGCTTCAACTCAGAAGTTTGGAGACAGGTTAGAACAGAGATGCCTCTGGCCTATCCGATCTTCCAGGACCCACAAGGGAACAGGTTTCATGAAATGCTGGATTTTAAAATTGTAAAATCCTTGGCCGAGTCAGTCAGAACCTACGGGGTCACAGCATCCTTTACAGTTGCTCAGTTAGAGACCCTACATAGATTTGCCATGACACCGGCTGATTGGCAGAATCTTGCAAAGGCATGCTTGTCACCTGGTCAATATCTAGATTGGAAGGCCTATCTCAATGAAATTGCAATTACTCAGAGCGCGGCTAATGCCGCGATCGGAGGGCCTCAGGCTGTTTGGGATGCAGAAATGCTCCTAGGCATGGGTCAATACGCCACTCAACAAAATGCTTATCCACCATTGGTGTATGACCAGATCAATGAGATTGCCATTAGGGCGTGGAAGGCTCTCCCCAATAAAGGGGAAATGACTGGCAATTTGACAAAAATCTTACAAGGGCCATCTGAACCTTTTTCTGATTTTGTGGCCAAGTTGGTGGAGGCAGCAGAAAAAATCTTCGGTGATACTGATACTGCCATGCCGCTAATAAAGCAACTTGTGTTTGAGCAATGTACCAAAGAATGCAGGGTGGCTATCATTCCACTTAGGCATAGGAGACTTGAGGAATGGATGAGGGCCTGCAGGGAAATAGGCGGCCCCCTGACTAATGAGGGGCTTGCGGCCGCCGTCATCAAATTAAGCAGGGGAGGCGGCCACCCCAGAACTTGCTTCCATTGTGGTAAAGCAGGGCATATGAAGCGTAATTGCCCACAGAGAGACCAGCCAAGGAATAAGGATGCTTTAAACTTTAAAGGTGCTCAATGCACCATGCCAGGATTATGCCCAAAATGTAAAAAAGGGAGGCACTGGGCGAATGAGTGCAGGTCTGTTAGGGACATTAACGGTCATGTCATCCCATATATGTCAATGCCAAAAAACGGGAGACCGGGCCCCAAGCCTCAGAGCCCACAAATATATGGGGCCATGGAGAACTCAACAACAGAAAATCCCAATCTGAGGGAGACAAGCCTAGAACAGTGGCCGACCTTCCGGCACCCCAAAAACCTCGCAGGGCCACTGCAGGTGCCGCGGAACTGGACCTCTGTTCTGCCTCCGGACTCGTACTGACCCCTCAAATGGGGGTACAATTAATAGAATCAGACCTCCAAGGACCCTTGAACCCAGGCACAGTGGGTCTCCTCCTGGGAAGATCATCCACTATTTTAAAGGGTCTTAAGGTACATCCTGGGGTAATCGACCCTGACTATAATGGTACAATAAAGATAATGGTAGAGTCACCTAGAGGGGTAGTAGCTATCTCCCGGGAGACAGGATTGCCCAGCTTCTGCTTCTGCCCAGCCAACATGAGCTGTTTCCAGTACGGTCTAATGAAAGAGGAAAGGAATGTTGTGGCTCTACAGGAACAGATCTGACCTTTTTGTCCTTGGAATTAAATCAAAGACCAGTCCTAACACTTAATGTGGATGGAAAAAGGATTCTTGGCCTGCTAGACACGGGGGCAGACAAAAGCATTATAGCATAAAAGGACTGGCCATCGGGTTGGCCTATACAGGCCTCCTCTCAAACCTTACGGGGGCTAGGGTATGTTAAGGCTCCGGATGTGAGTGCTAGACACCTACAGTGGAAAGATGAGGAGGGTCATTCCGGAACTATGCAGCCCTATGTCCTGGATCTTCCCGTCTCCTTGTGGGGGAGGGACTTGCTCAATGATATGGGCTTTAAGCTAAGCAATAAATTTTCAGCCGCCTCTCAACAAATGATGAGGGACATGGGATGCCATCCAAGTTTCGGGCTAGGAAAACATTTACAAGGAAATAGGGGGCCCGTTCAAGCACACCAGAGATACCTGAGGCAAGGGTTGGGTTTTTCCTAGGGGCCGCTGAGGGAGGTATTCCCATTACATGGAAGACGGAGGAGCCTATATGGGTTCCTCAGTGGCCACTTTCCTCCGAGAAATTGAGTGCAGCAAAAACCTTAGTCGCTGAACAGCTTGCCTTGGGACACATAAAGCCATCCCTGTCGCCATGGAATACGCCCATCTTTGTCATTAAAAAAATCAGGAAAATGGCGCCTCTTACAGGACTTGAGAGCCATAAATAGCCAAATGCAAGCAATGGGCCCTGTACAGCGAGGGCTGCCGTTACTTTCTGCCTTACCGGCGTCTTGGCATGTTATTGCAATAGATATAAAAGATTGTTTTTTCTCTATCCCTCTCCATACGGAGGATTGTAAACGATTTGCCTTTACTGTCCCATCTTTAAATCATGAAGAGCCCGATCAGAGATTTGAATGGGTTGTGTTGCCCCAGGGAATGGCCAATAGCCCCACTATGTGTCAGCTCTATGTAGGACAGACCATTGAGCCATTAAGAAGGGAATTCCCCATCCTAAGATGTTTTCATTATATGGATGATGTGCTGTTAGCTGCCAAGGAAGAAAAATTTTTAGAAAAGGCATTTATTAGATTGATGTTTTTATTGGAGAATAAGGGACTGCTTTTGGCTCCCGAAAAGATTCAAAAAGGAAAAATGGTGAATTATTTGGGCACAAAGATTATCGGAGATCATATTATTCCACAAAAATTAGAGTTAAGAAAAGATAATTTAAAAACCTTAAATGATTTTCAAAAGTTGCTAGGAGAAATAAAATGGATTAGGTGTTTTATTAAGTTCCCTAATTATGATTTAAAGCCCTTGAATGATCTCTTAAATGGAGATCCAGCCTTGGATTACCCCAGACAGTTAACCCCTGAAGCAAGGCTTGCCCTACGTAGGGTGGAAGAGAGGCTACAAGATGCCTTCCTACAAAGATGCAAGGAGGGACATCCCATCTTTGTATGTATACTTCCCACATATTATCAGCCTACGGGCTTGCTTTGGCAGGATGGACCTTTATTGTGGATTTATCCACGCATATCCCCTGCTAAATCTATTGAGTATTATCCCACCGTGGTGGCAAGATTGGCTCAAAATGGCATCCAACAATGCTTACAACATTTTGGCATAGCCCCAAAAGTGATCACTGTGCCCTACACCAATGATCAAATTCATGTCCTTTGCACCACTATTGATGATTGGGCCATTTTAAGGTGTGGGTTTAAAGGGGATATAGATAATCATTATCCAAAACATCCATTAATAGGATTTTTTAAGGAGCACCCGGTAGTCTTTCCAAAAATAACTTCCAATGCTCCAATCCCAGGTGCCCCCAATGTATTCACAGATGGCTCAAAAACAGGATGTGGTACCTATATGGTGGGCTCTTCGGAACCCGTTCAGATACAGTTTCAACCCGGCTCGCCCCAATTAGTAGAACTAGAGATTGTTGTTAAGGTTTTTGAAAATTGTTCTTTTGCCTTTAATCTTCTTTCAGATTCTGCCTATGTGGTTAATGCTATAAAGGTACTGGAAGCTGCCGGCCCTATTAGGTCCAGCAGTCCGGTCTGCACCCTGTTTCAAAGGCTTCAAATTTTGATCTGGCACCGAAAGTGTTGTTTTTTCATACAGCATGTCAGAGCACATACGGGCCTCCCGGGCCCCATAAGTGAGGGCAATAATAAAGTTGATCAATGGACCAGAATGGAGTATATATTCCTTTGTTCCACCCTGGATAGAGCCAGAGATTTTCATAAAAATTTTCATGTAAATGCCAAAACCTTACAACAGAAGTTTCATCTCTCCCGGGCTGATGCACGACAAGTCATCTTGGATTGTGCTCAATGTGCCGTCCATCATCATCCGCCCTGTCTCGGAGTCAATCCTAGAGGATTGCTCCCTTAAAGGTTTGGCAAATGGATGTTACTCATGTTGCCGAATTTGGCAGTCTAAAATATGTCCATGTATCTGTTGATACCTGCTCTGGAATTATCCATGCCACCCCTCTATCAGGCGAAAAGGCTCGCAATGTTGTCACCCATTGCCTGGAGGCTTGGGCAGCCTGGGGAAAACCCAGGCAGCTGAAAACTGATAATGGGCCGGCTTATACAGCTCAGTCCTTTGCCTCCTTTTGCAAACAAATGGAGGTTCAACTGCTTCATGGATTGCCATATAATCCACAAGGTCAGGGCATAGTAGAACGTGCCCATCGCACTCTAAAAGAATGTCTAAATAAACAAAAAGGGGGAATAGGCTATGGCCGCACCCCAAAAGAGAGGCTTTCTCTCGCCCTCTTTACTATAAATTTTTTAAATTTGGATGCTCAAGGTCGCTCTGCAGCTGACAGGCATCAAGAACCCCATGGTCCAAGCAAAGGCTTGGTAAAATGGAAGGACATCTTGACTGGCACATGGCATGGGCCTGATCCCGTGCTGACTTGGGCACGAGGTTCTGTTTGTGTTTTTCCACAGGACCAACAAGACCCCGTGTGGGTTCCAGAATGACTGGTGAGGAAGGCACAGACACCGCTGGATCCGAATGATGCAAATGCCACTCAGGCCGCTCACCCCATGCTTTCCAATGATGATGATGATAACGACAATGGCGGTGGCGGAGCCTCGCTGGGGGATTCTATCGACCTTTCCAATGCTGATGCTGGTCCGCCATAATGCGCAAGTTTTCCCTTGGTTGTTTAACCTGCCCTCCCTTCCTTTAGATACCCAGGCATCCCCTATAGGGAAAAACCGGACTTTTCCTGAAAAGGAAAGTTTGTGTTTTACATTTTGACCAGCAGCTCCTGCATTAAGTTAGCCTGCCATACTGCAGGATGGTTTTTTCATAAAGATAAATATCAATCCGGACAGAGTCAAAGTTGTAATTCCACCACCTGCCGGACGCATCTTATCACAAATTACTCTACCAATGTGGCCTGGATTAATGGTTCATGGCCAGTAGTAGCAAAGAGGAGTAATGATACCCCTCCTACTCAACCAAGGTGGGCACCCCGATGCTGGGGCCACTTTGAGGGCGAGGCCTGGCCCTGGACAGGATGCCAGGCCATGCAAGTGAATTGGACAAATGAAGATAAACTATTCACCTTTTCCCCAGATATGGTAGGGAAGAATAAAGGTCTTTTAAATATCCCAGTCTTTGTGTTACCAGCGTACAGTTTGAAAATTATATATGTGCTGCTAATTTGTCTAAACTTTCCAGTTATCTTCTAGGTAATTGGTCAGGGGAATTTGAAAAGGAACTCGACCAACTGCACGCAGCCATAGTGACAGTGAACTCCACCCAAGTCGATTCCAGCATCGCAGAAGGATTGTCCTCCTGGATCAGGGCCACCATGGATCACTTAAAGGAGTGGGCGGGGATAGGGTCCCTACTTGGCCTGATGGCCATAGCCTCCCTGGTATGCCTGTGGTGCTTCTGTAATGCTCAGTCTAATCAGTGCTGTAATGCAATGATGGTCATGCAAGCATTCGCTACCATTGAAGAAGGTCAGTCCCCCTCAGCCTGGCTGGCTACCTTTAAAAACTAATTTTCTCCAGTCGGGGTGCAAGGCTAAGCACTGCACGAGGGTTTGCTTGTAAGCAGTTAAGCTACCCTCGGAAGACAAGCCCAATTGCAGGAAGGTTGTACCCAAGATCCTTCCCCTGGGAAAACAGGTACAGGATGGGTCAGGGTCACCACAGGCGTAGAGTCTGTAGATGTCACCTGTACATTATCCCAGCTTTGCACACCAGGGATCGGGCCTCTATCTTCACCCACCTTTGTTATATAAAAACAAAAAGGGGGAACTGTGGAGAGCTGCGCCACACCGCGCCTCAAAGATGGCGCCGGCTTCCGCATTCCACCATCCCGACGGTGAGTGCGCTCGGAAATAAACAACTCCTTATTTGGCCTGCTCCCATCCCGCCGGGGTCACGCCGTCATCATCAGATTGCTTATGCATTCTGATGAGCCTATAGCTTGCACACACGTGGCTGCTCAGGGTTGGCTGGCCTCGGCTATTTAGGGAGCAGGAGGGGTTTTTCCCGTGGCTGCCTCTACATTGTTTCAAGGTTCCTGAATAAACCGCTGATGAGAAGGATTCCTGAGTCGCGTCTTCCTTGCAGGTCGAGGTGGTCGTGACACATAATACCAGAATTTATTAAATAACAATAAATGCACAAGGTACTCTCTTTTCTAAAGTAGCAATTTTCCAGATAATACTTTCCTCTTGATGTTCTGG